TCCAGGCCTACGAGCGCCTCATGGCCACCCTGAGCCCGCTCAGCACGGACAGCGCCCGGCACACCTTCCGGCAGCTGCGGGGCATCTCCCGGGCCGTGGTGGAGAACGGGGGTGTGGTCTCCCCCAACCCCTTGGGCTTCTGAGCCCCGACACAGCTCCGCCTGGGACACTGTGACCCCAAACTGGCCCCTCCCACTTCCCAGCACACACTTCTGCCCCCTCCCTGAAGCGTCTGGGAAAGGGGGGGGGCGAATAGTGGGGTGCTTTCCCTTCCTCCAATACGCCCAGCCTAACACGCTACCTCTGGGACGTAGCTCTTCTGCTGTGGAAATGCCTTAACGTGCCCCTGTTGGAGGAGGGGGCAATGTCTGTTTCAAGGCTCCCCTGAGGAGGGGGGGAAATGTGTGTTTCGAGGCCGCTCTGGAGGAAGCGGCGGGAGCTGCCGTGTAGGAGGAGAGAAATGTCTACCCTGGAGGTGGGGGGAACTGCCCGAGGAGGTGGAATGTGTGTTTCGAGGCTCCCCCAAGGAGGGGGGAAATGTCTGTTTTGAGGCAGCCCCATGGAGGGAAATGTGAGTTTCGAGGCTCCCCTCTCCCCTGCCCCGGGGATAGATCTGAGCTTTAACCAGCCATAGCTGCTTTATGTTCCCCCAGTGGCCAGTCGGTTTTGGGGTGGGGAAGGTGCCAGCCTGGGGGGGCAGAGTTGCCCACACATCTCCCACTTGTGGGAGAAAAGTGGGCACCCCGACACTGATGCCCTCCAAGCAGGGGTGCCCCCAGAAATGGGGTCACCCTGATCCCTACAGGAGAGCCTGGCCCGGCCGCTGTTTCCTTGTCAAAAATAAATAGAATATTTTGGATGACTGGATGTGTTACAACCAGGACTTCCCTGTGCTGTGGCGGGAGGGGGGGAGACGGATTTTGGGGGGAGCTGGGGTTCAGACCTTCGGGTGGAGTTGTGGGGTCAGGATCCGAATGAGCCCTTTGGGGTTTCGGGGGGTTAGAGCAGGGGGCCTGGGAGCCAGGACTCCTGGGTTCTCTCCTTGCTCTCTGGGAGGGGAGTGGGGGCTAGTGGTTAGAGCAGGGGGCGCTGGGAGCCAGGACTCCTGGGTTCTCTGCCTGGTGGGTTAGAACAGGGCAGGCTGGGAGCCAGGACTCCTGGGTTCTTTCCCTGGTTCTGGGAGGGGAGTGGGGGCTAGTGGTTAGAGCAGTGTATCCTGATCCCCCCCTTAATTACACCACCTGGGGATGTGCCCGACTGATTCCAGTGTGGAGCTGCTTATTTCCAGGGAGCCAATTGGGAGAAAAGGAATTGCTACTTGTGTACGGCATGATGCAGCCATGTGGTGAGGAGTTCCGCTGGTTAACGACACCTTCTGGAGGAGTCTGTGGAGGGGTGGGGGGCTGGGAAGGGAATTAAATCACTGTGTGGCAGAAATGGACCATGCGGGGCTCAATATCCCGGCCCTTCCCTGCCATCCTGGATCAGACTATGAGCCCACCTAGCCCCGTATCCTGTCACTGCCCAATCCCCGCTATTTCTGTCCCATCCCCACCCCTCATTATTTGGTCCTGGCTCTAATTAATTGGATTGAAAGTCAATCCAAGGTTCTCATGATCTATGTAAGCATCCCAAGTGGGTGCCTCACCAACCATCATGTGGCAGGGAGTCCCGCGGGTTAACAACCCTTCTCATAATTCTCCATGCCACTGTCTTGGGCTCAGACATCATCACACGGTGGGGAATCCGCACCAGATATAGAAATGGTATCCCTGGCTATAGCAATCCCGTGGCTGCTTCAGTGTCCTGTAACAAGGAGTTCCACTAGTTATCAGCTCAACTCCATGGCATAAAACGAGACGATTTACCCTGGTATCGGTGAGCCTGATGCCAGAAGACGGCCTCCAGTTGAGGCGTGTGCCGTTTAAATCATCAGTGGCGATGCTGGAGAGGGTACAGAGAGGAGGCGGAGGGCTGGGTAAAAATGCCTTCCGGCTTGTGAGCTGTTTGGCGTCTGGAAACGCAGCGACCTGTGGGGTCCCGTGTCTACAGCCCTTGGCAGGGAGAAAACCCCGGGGGTCAACCCGCTCTTGAGTCTCGCGGAGCGCGGAAGAGCCAGGCCGGACGTCGGGAAGGAGGGACCGATTCGTAACCGCGAGGGGCGACTGGCCGTCGGCTGGTTGAAGGCCCTTTCACGAATTTTCCAGCCCAAACCACGCCGTTTGGGCCAAACTGCACCTTTTCACGGCAAGATCGGTGATTTGCGGGTCGTTTCTTTTACGTTACGTTCAGGGGGGGGCCCGTTTAATGTGATGTCGGTAATTACGTAGCCGATGTGGTGTAAAAGGAAATCTTTCCCTCGTGCATTTCGTATGTATAATTTAATATAAAGAGAACTTGATATACATTACTGTAATCTGTATATTTTCACATGTACATGGAACTAATACATTTTTATATATATTAACAGATAATACAGATTAGTATATTTAATACAATGTATATAATTTGATGTAAAGACTATACGTTTATAATTAAGATAATAATCGGTTGTTGTATATTGCATTTGATATTAGAATCAGAATATCAGGGTTGGAAGGGACCTCAGGAGGTGTCTAGCCCAACCCCCTGCTCGAAGCAGGACCAATTCCCAATTAAATCATCCCAGCCAGGGCTTTGTCAAGCCTGACCTTAAAAACTTCTAAGGAAGGAGCTTCCACCACCTCCCTAGGTAACGCATTCCAGTGTTTCACCCCCCTCCTCGTGAAATAGTGTTTCCTAATGTCCAACCTAGATCTCCCCCACTGCAACGTGAGACCATTACTCCTTGTCCTGTCCTCTGCTACCACTGAGAACAGTCTAGATCCATCCCCTTTGGAAGCCCCTTTCGGGTAGTTGAAAGCAGCTATCAAATCCCCCCTCATTCTTCTCTTCCGGAGACTAAACAATCCCAGTTCCCTCAGCCTCTCTATTATAGAGAGCTCAGTGGTTTGAGCATTGGCCTGCTAAACCCAGGGTTGTGAGTTCAATCCTTGAGGGGGCCATTTAGGGATCTGGGGCAAAAATTGGGGGATTGGTCCTGCTTTGAGCAGGGGGTTGGACTAGATACCTCCTGAGGTCCCTTCCAACTCTGATAATCTATGATTCTATGATATGTAATAGATGTAAGGATAATACATCTTTAAGATGATTGTGTATTATATTGAGTGTTGATATTTAACATAAGTAAAGCCAATTCAGCTTTATAATTAATGGTTGCGTATTTAATGTGTGTATTTAATAGAAAGATAAAACATCTTTATACTTTAGTTTAATGGTGTATTTCCTTCAATATTATAGATATCTAATACATGGGAAGAGAATACGTATTTTTAATTAAATAGCTGGATGTTGTTTTTACGATTATAGATACAGAATATATGTAAAAATACATATTTCTATATATTTAATTTAACAAATACGATCTGTATAATTTAATATTCTATGCAGTTATAAACCGAATGGATATAATTAATATTTAAGATGAAATATACATCTTTATAATATAACAAAATGTTTACTATCTCTAACATCCATAAAGATAGCACCTCTTGTGTTGTATATTGCGTATAACAGATCTTTACACATTTAATGTATATAATTAACAGTATATAAAGACAGGTTTCGGAGTAGCCGCCGTGTTGGTCTGTATTCGCAAAAAGGAAAGGAGGACTCGTGGCACCTTAGAGACTAGCCAAGATAAATCTATAATGGTTGTATATTCTATTTGATAGCTTATATGTAAAGAAAATGCATCTTGCCATTTATAGTTAACATAAAGATAAATATATGTATATTTAATGTCCTTTTGTACATTTAATATTTTAAAATTAAATACCTAGAATATTAACTAATATTTATTATATTCTAAAGTTGCGTAATCTATATATAAGACAATACATCTTTATATGTATTTAATATAACAGACAATACATAGAAGATCTGGGTTGGAAGGGCCCTCAGGAGATCATCCAGTCCAACCCCCTGCTCAAACCAGGACCATTCCCCAGTTTTTGCCCCAGATACCTAAATGGCCCCCTCAGGGATTGAACTCTCAACTCTGGGTTTAGCATCATTGTATATTTAATATTATGTAGCTATTTTTAATAAATAGAACATCTTTCCCTGTTATATTTAATATAAAAGCTAATATCTACAAAGATAATCTTTTATGTCTATATGTAATATATTAATCGACGAAGTGAATGAACGCAAATTATAAATATTTTTAGGGTCCTGAATGAAAATTTTTCTCAACTTCTATGGTGTGCTGGTCGGATAATCATGTGGCATGGAGTTCCAAAGGTGAACTGAGCTTTAAATTCATTATCTTTCCTTTGCTTTGCTCTTTTCTTGCAGCTGGCAAAGAAAAAGAACCGCCCCCCCCCCGTCTATTATTTTGACATAATCTCGTGATTTTTTTGAAGCCAATCTCGTGATTTTGGGTGCGCCTGCCTCCCGGGTCTTTGGGGTTGGCAAAGTCTGTGCAAGGAGCAGTTTCACTCCTCTTCCAAGTCAGTTTCTGGTATATTTATGGGCCCTCGGGGCCGGGCACCGCGTGAACGCCCGGGGCCTTGCCCTGGTTCAACGTTTCCAAAAAGTTTGAGCCCAAGCTAGGGGGGGAAAAACAAAAGCGCCCCTGGAATTGCGCTTCAAGTTGCCCTCCCCGCCCCCAGTCCTGGGCAAACTCCCACCCCCTCTGTTGCAACCCCTCTCCCATGCCAGGATCCCCCACTTTCCTCTCTGTGCCCCCCAGAGGCAGGACCTCTCTGCCTGCCCTTGCTCCCCCCCCACCCCCGCATGGCTGTGTCTTGCAGCCCACCCCCCCCCCGGCCAAAACTACGCTACCCACAATTCTGCCGGGCTCCCAATCTTTTAAGCCGGCAGCTGTTGGGAAGGCAGATTACGGGATTAGCGTGTGTGTCTCCCCCCAACGCGCCCCCCCCATGCCAGGCACCGCGATGCCAAGGAAACAGAGAGGTAGGGACCCCCTTTGCCCCCCCCCCCAACCCGGCGCCTCCGGGATACCTCTCTGCCCCACTCTGAGCTATCCCCAACTCCCCCACACCTGCCCCAGCACGAGAGCTGGGGGCCCCCAGCTAGGAGCCATGTGTGGGGGTGAGCAGGCACCGGGTGGGGGGTTCTCCATGGGCGTGAGGGGCCGGGCAATGCGCTTGCGTGTTGTTGTGTTGCACAGGGCAAAGTTTGGGGTGGCCTACAGGGGAAGAGGTGGGTTTGTGTGTTGTGTAGGAGCTGGGTTGTCAGGGAGAGTGTGTATGAGTTGGGGCAGGGAGGGGGGCTGTAAGGGACAGAGGGGGGTGTGGGGTAGTGTGAGAGAGAAGTGGGTGTGGAAGTGTGCGACTTTGTGTGTTGTGTGGGGTGGGGTAGGATGGGAGAGCGGCGGGTGTGGGAGTGTGCGACGTTGTGTGTTGTGTGGGGTGGGGTAGGATGGGAGAGAGGCGGGTGTGGAAGTGTGCGACTTTGTGTGTTGTGTGGGGTTGGATGGGGGAGAGGTGGGTGTGGGAGTTTGTGTTGTGTAATATGGGGTTGGATAAGAGGGTGTGGGGTAGGATGGGAGAGAGGTGGGTGTGGAAGTGTGCGACTTTGTGTGTTGTGTGGGGTTGGATGGGGGAGAGGTGGGTGTGGGAGTTTGTGTTGTGTAATATGGGGTTGGATAAGAGGGTGTGGGGTAGGATGGGAGAGAGGCGGGTGTGGAAGTGTGCGACTTTGTGTGTTGTGTGGGGTAGGATGGGAGAGAGGCGGGTACGGAAGTGTGCGACTTTGTGTGTTGTGTGGGGTGGGGTAGGATGGGAGAGAGGCGGGTACGGAAGTGTGCGACTTTGTGTGTTGTGTGGGGTGGGGTAGGATGGGAGAGAGGCGGGTATGGAAGTGTGCGACGTTGTGTGGGGTTGGATGGGGGAGAGGTGGGTGTGGGAGTTTGTGTTGTGTAATATGGGGTTGGATAAGAGAGTGGGGGTGTGCGTGGAGGTGTGTAGTGTTGTGGGGTTGGATGGGAGAGGCATGTGTGGTGTTGTGGGATTGGATGGGGGAGTTTGTGTAATGTGGGTTTGGATGGGAGAGAGGCAGGTGTGAATGTGTGGTGTTGTCGTGTTGTGAGGTAGGATAGGAGAGAGGCAAGTGTGGAGGTGTACGACTTTGTGTACTGTGTAGTGTGGGGTTGGATAAGAGAGTGGGGGTGTGTGGAAGTTTGTGTGGTGTTGTGTTGTGGGGTTGGATGGGGAGGGTTGTGTGGTGGTGTGGGGTTGGATGGGGGAGAGGTGGGTGTGGAGATGCTGGGCGTTGTGGGTTTGTCTGGGCAAGGGGGCGTGTGTTGTGTTGTGTTGTATGGTGACTTGGGGTGTGTGTGTGGGGAACAGGGTTTGTGGGTGTGGGCGGTGAACGGGGGGTAGCGGTGACTTGGGGGGTGTGTGGGGGGGAACAGGGTTTGTGGGTGTGGGTGGTGAACGGGGGGTAGCGGTGACTTGGGGTGTGTGCGTGTGTCCATGTCTGCTCACCCCACTGCTGGGTCCCCCCCATGCTGCCCCGCCCCAGAGATGTCTCCCACCCTGGGGTCCCCTTGGAAACGCCCCCTCTCACCCTCCCCCCTCTGGACATTCGGCCCCCACCACAGGGGCCGCCCCAGAAACACCCCCCCCGGCGTGCCCCATGGCGGGGCGCCCCCCGGAAATACCTCCCCTGACCAGCTGCTGCCCTCCTCCTAGGAGTCCTGCACACCCCATTTCTGGGGGGGGGGCCCAGAAACAATCCCTGCTGCATGCACGCCCCCCCCCACTCATCCCCACGCCTCGCCTGACCCCCCATCTGCCCCCCCAGAGGCCCAGGCCGCCCTGCGCCCGACGCCGGACCAGAGCTTCCGGCAGAAGGCCCAGACCCTGCTCAGCATCTTCCACAGCCGGCTCTTCCAGGCCCTGCTGGGTAGGTGTGGGGCTGGGGGCGGGGCTTAGGGGCTGGGGGCGGGGCTGATGGAAGGGGCGGGGCTTGGGGATGGGGTAGTAGTTGGGGGGGGACTGTGTGGGGCAGGGCTTAGGGAGGGGGGAGGGACTGACTGAGCAGGGGGTGGGGCTCCCAGATTGTGTGGGGCGGGGTTCGCGGCGGGCGGTAAAGGGGAGTCTGGGGGAGGGGCTGAAACGGCAAGGGTGGGGCTTGGGGAAGGGGGCGGGGCGTAAAGGGTGGGGCGGTGCTTGACGTGAACCCGAACCGGCTCGCCTGGCTTAGCCCCGTGCGAGGGTGTGGGGCGACCCCCCCCCCACATGCCTGGGCGGTGGCCCGGGGCCCAGGGCTATAATTAGGGTTAAATCTCCGTTAATTAGCTCCGGCCTGGCTGGGGGCAGGGGAGGAGGCCGAGGACCAGCCTCTAAGGAGCTTTCAGACAAAGTGGCTCGGCTCGGGCCTGGCTACGGCTCAGCCAACCGGCCCCCGCGGCCGGATCGGCACCACGGGCCCCTCCAGGCCTGGCCTCCGCCAGCAGGGGGCGCTGTGGTGGGGTGCGGGGGGGGGGGCAGAAGGGGTGGAAAAACTCCCCACCCCGGGGCAGTAAAGTCCTGGCGTCTTCCCTCCCCAGACATCCAGGAGGTCTACGAAGCCACTGTGACGGACTCGCAGCCCCCGACTGCGCGCAGGGCGCGGGCCAAGGTAAAGAGCCTCGGGGGGCCGGGCGTCCCCTACGCCGCCCTCCGTCCCTCCGTCCGTCTGTCCCTCCGTCCGACCACCCGTCCGCGTACACGGCTATCCGCCCGTCCCTCCGTCCGACCACCCGTCCGCGTACACGGCTATCCGCCCGTCCCTCCGTCCGTCCAGCCACCCGCGTACACGGCTATCCGCCCGTCCCTCCGTCCGTCCAGCCACCCGCGTACACGGCTATCCGCCCGTCCCTCCGTCCGACCACCCACCCGCGTACCCGGCTATCCGCCCGTCCCTCCGTCCGACCACCCATCCGCGTACCCGGCTATCCGCCCGTCCCTCCGTCCGTCCAGCCACCCGCGTACACGGCTATCCGCCCGTCCCTCCGTCCGACCACCCACCCGCGTACCCGGCTATCCGCCCGTCCCTCCGTCCGACCACCCGTCCGCGTACCCGGCTATCCGCCCGTCCCTCCGTCCGCCCACCCGTCCGCGTACACGGCTATCCGCCCGTCCCTCCGTCCGCCCACCCGTCCGCGTACACGGCTATCCGCCCGTCCCTCCGTCCGACCACCCGTCCGCGTACACGGCTATCCGCCCGTCCCTCCGTCCGTCCAGCCACCCGCGTACACGGCTATCCGCCCGTCCCTCCGTCCGACCACCCATCCGCGCACACGGCTATCCGCCCGTCCCTCCGTCCGTCCAGCCACCCGCGTACACGGCTATCCGCCCGTCCCTCCGTCCGACCACCCGTCCGCGTACACGGCTATCCGCCCGTCCCTCCGTCCGACCACCCGTCCGCGTACCCGGCTATCCGCCCGTCCCTCCGTCCGTCCAGCCATCCGCGTACACGGCTATCCGCCCGTCCCTCCGTCCGTCCAGCCACCCGCGTACCCGGCTATCCGCCCGTCCCTCCGTCCGACCACCCGTCCGCGTACACGGCTATCCGCCCGTCCCTCCGTCCGTCCAGCCACCCGCGTACACGGCTATCCGCCCGTCCCTCCGTCCGTCCAGCCACCCGCGTACACGGCTATCCGCCCGTCCCTCCGTCCGACCACCCGTCCGCGTACACGGCTATCCGCCCGTCCCTCCGTCCGACCACCCGTCCGCGTACACGGCTATCCGCCCGTCCGTCCAGCCACCCGCGTACACGGCTATCCGCCCGTCCCTCCGTCCGTCCAGCCACCCGCGTACACGGCTATCCGCCCGTCCCTCCGTCCGACCACCCACCCGCGTACCCGGCTATCCGCCCGTCCCTCCGTCCGACCACCCGTCCGCGTACACGGCTATCCGCCCGTCCCTCCGTCCGACCACCCGTCCGCGTACACGGCTATCCGCCCGTCCGTCCAGCCACCCGCGTACACGGCTATCCGCCCGTCCCTCCGTCCGACCACCCATCCGCGTACACATCTATCCGCCCGTCCGTCCAGCCACCCGCGTACACGGCTATCCGCCCGTCCCTCCGTCCGACCACCCGTCCGCGTACACGGCTATCCGCCCGTCCCTCCGTCCGACCACCCGTCCGCGTACACGGCTATCCGCCCGTCCGTCCAGCCACCCGCGTACACGGCTATCCGCCCGTCCCTCCGTCCGACCACCCGTCCGCGTACACGGCTATCCGCCCGTCCCTCCGTCCGACCACCCATCCGCGTACACGGCTATCCGCCCGTCCGTCCAGCCACCCGCGTACACGGCTATCCGCCCGTCCCTCCGTCCGACCACCCATCCGCGTACACATCTATCCGCCCGTCCGTCCAGCCACCCGCGTACACGGCTATCCGCCCGTCCCTCCGTCCGACCACCCGTCCGCGTACACGGCTATCCGCCCGTCCCTCCGTCCGTCCAGCCACCCGCGTACACGGCTATCCGCCCGTCCCTCCGTCCGTCCAGCCACCCGCGTACACGGCTATCCGCCCGTCCGTCCAGCCACCCGCGTACACGGCTATCCGCCCGTCCCTCCGTCCGACCACCCGTCCGCGTACACGGCTATCCGCCCGTCCCTCCGTCCGACCACCCATCCGCGTACACGGCTATCCGCCCGTCCCTCCGTCCGTCCAGCCACCCGCGTACACGGCTATCCGCCCGTCCCTCTGTCCACCCCTGTACACGGCTTTCCGTCCGTCCGTCTATCCATTCACGCATCCGCGTACACGGCTATGCGTCCATCCATACAAAAATATCCATCCGGCCATCCGTCAGTTTGTCCGCCAACCCATCCCTGTACACGACTATTTGCCCATCCATCCATCCCCATACATAAATATCCGTCTGTCCATCCATCCCTCCCCATACAGAGCTATCCGGTCGTCCGGCTGTCCACCCATCCCTGTACACGGTTATCTGCCCATCAGTCCATCCATCCATCCCCATACATAAATGTCCGTCCGTCCACCCATCCCTATACACAGTTGTTTGTCCACCCACCCATCCCTGTACACGGCTATCTGCCCATCCATCCATCCATCCCCATACATAAATATCCGTCTGTCCATCCATCCCTCCCCATTCATAGCTGTCCGTCCGGCCATCCATCCATCCCTCCCCATACACAGCCATTCACCTGTCCACCCAGCCCTATTCTCGGCTATCTGTCTGTCCGTCCATCCATCCCCATACACAGTCATCCGTCTGTCCGTCTATCCATACATCCATCTACCCATCCCTGTACATAGCTGTCTATCTGTCCATCCATCCATCCCCATACATAGCTATCTGTCCATCCATCCATCATCCCCTTACACAACTATTTGTCTGTCCGTCCATCCATCCGTGTCCCCATAAACAGTTACCCATCTGTCCATCCGTCTGTCCTCCATCCCCAGCTGTCCAGCTGTCCCCATCCCCAGCTGTCATGGATCCATCAGTTCGCCCCAACACACAGCTATCTGTCCGTCCATCTGTCCATCCCCATACACAACTATCCATCCATCCCCATACACAGCTGTCCATCTGTCCCTCCCCATATGCAGCTGTCAGTCTGTCCCAATACGCGTCCGTTAATCCCCATTCACAGCTCTCCGTCTGTCCTTCCATTCGTCCGTCCCTGTGCGCCTCGGTCCATCTGTCCTTCCATCCGTCCCCGTACGCAGCTATCAGTCCGTCCATCCATCCATCCACGCCCCCCCACACCCTCTATCTATCCATCCATCCCCGTATGCAGCTGTCCGTCCATCTGTCAGGCCATCCATCCATCCATCCATCCCCATACATAAATATCTGTCCTTCCGTCCGTCCATCCATCCCCCATACATAAATATCTGTCCGGCCATCCATCCTCTTACACAGCTATCCATCCCCATACATAGCTATCTGTCCATAGAGTCATAGAAGATCAGGGTTGGAAGGGACCTCAGGAGGTGTCTAGTCCAACCCCCTGCTCAAAGCAGGACCGATCCCCAACTAAATCATCTCAGCCGGGGGTCAAGCCTGACCTTAAAAACTTCTAAGGAAGGAGATTCCACCACCTCCCTAGGTAACGCATTCCAGTGCTTCACCACCCTCCTCGTGAAATCGTGTTTCCTAATATCCAACCTAAACCTCCCCCACTGCAACTTGAGACCATTACTCCTCGTTCTGTCATCTGCTACCACTAGATCCATCCTCTTTGGAACCCCCTTTCAGGTAGTTGAAAGCAGCTATCAAATCCCCCCTCATTCTTCTCTTCTGCAGGCTAAACAATCCCAGTTCCCTCAGCCTCTCCTCATAACTCATGTGTTCCAGACCCCTAATCATTTTTGTTGCCCTCCGCTGGACTCTCCAATTTATCCACATCCTTCTTGTAGTGTGGGGCCCAAAACTGGACACAGTACTCCAGATGAGGCCTCACCAATGTCGAATAGAGGGGAACGATCACGTCCCTCGATCTGCTCGCTATGCCCCTACTTATACATCCCAAAATGCCATTGGCCTTCTTGGCCACAAGGGCACACTGCTGACTCATATCCAGCTTCTCGTCCACTGTCACCCCTAGGTCCTTTTCCACAGAACTGCTGCCTAGCCATTCGGTCCCTAGTCTGTAGCGGTGCATTGGCTTCTCCTGTCCTAAGTGCAGGACCCTGCACTTATCCTTATTGAACCTCATCAGATTTCTTTTGGCCCAATCCTCCAATTTGTCTAGGTCCCTCTGTATCCTATCCCTCCCCTCCAGCGTATGTACCTCTCCTCCCAGTTTAGTATCATCCGCAAATTTGCTGAGGGTGCAATCCACACCATCCTCCAGATCATTAATGAAGATATTGAACAAAACCACCCCAGGACCGACCCTTGGGGCACTCCGCTTGACACCGGCTGCCAACTAGACATGGAGCCATTGATCACTACCCGTTGAGCCCGACAATCTAGCCAATTTTCTACCCACCTTATAGTCCATTCATCCAGCCCATACTTCCTTAACTTGCTGGCAGAAATACTGTGGGAGACCGTGTCAAACGCTTTGCTGAAGTCAAGGAACAACACGTCCACTGCTTTCCCTTCATCCACAGAACCAGTAATCTCATCATAGAAGGCGATTAGATTAGTCAGGCATGACCTTCCCTTGGTGAATCCATGCTGGCTGTTCCTGATCACTTTCCTCTCATGCAAGTGCTTCAGGATTGATTCTTTGAGGACCTGCTCCATGATTTTTCCAGGGACTGAAGTGAGGCTGACTGGCCTGTAGTTCCCAGGATCCTCCTTCTTCCCTTTTTTAAAGATGGGCACTACATTAGCCTTTTGCCAGTCGTCCCCCAGTCCATCCATCCATCCCCTTAGACAGCTATTTGTCTGTCTGTCCATCTGTCCATCAATCTGTGCATCCCCATACACAGCTCTCCATCCGTCCATCCATCGAGCCCCAGGCATAGCTATCTGGCCGTCCGTCCATCCATCCCTCCATCCCCATACACAACTATCAGTCCATCCATCCCCAGACATAAATATCCGTCTGTCCATACATACATAAATCCACCGGTTCACTTCCGTATGTGTCCGTCAGTCAGTCTGTCCCCATACGCAGCTGTCCGTCCATCCATTCATCCCCACCTATCCCTAGCTGTCCATCCGTTCCCATCCCCAGCTGTCCGTCCATCCATCCATATACACAGCTATCTGTCCATCCGTCCATCCCCATACACAGCTATCCATCCGTCCGTCCGTCTGTCCGTCCCCATACAGAGCTATCCATCCCCATACACATCAGTCCGTCCATCCCTGTACACAGCTGTCAGTCCATCTGTCCCAATGCATCCGTTCATCCCCATTCACAGCTCTCTGTCTGTCCTCCCATCCGTCCATCCCTGTGTGCATCGCTCCATCTGTCCTTCCATCCGTCCCAGTGTGCGGCTGTCTGTCCATCCCCATCTGTCCGTCCAGCCCCATACACCATCCGTCCATCCCTGTACACAGCTATCCGTCTGTCCATCCCCATACACAGCTACCCATCTGTCGGTCCGTCCATCCATCTGCCCATCCCTGTACACAGCTGTCCATCCATCCATCCCCATACACAACTACCCATCTGTCCGTCCGTCCATCCATCCCCATACACAGCCATCCATCCTTCCAGCCATCCATCCATCTATCCGTCCGTCCCCATACACAGCCGTCCATCCCTCTGTCCGTCCGTCCCCATACACAGCCATCCATCCATCCGTCCGTCCGTCCCCTTACACAGCTACCTGTTCATCCATCCGTCCATTCATCCATCCATCCACCCCATACGCAGTTGTCCATTTGTCAATCCCCATATGCATCAGTCCGTCTATCTGTCCCCATATGTAGCTGTCAGGCCGTCCGCCACCATATGAAGCTGTCCATCCCTGTACGCAGCTGTCTGTCTGTCCATCCCCATCTCTCTATCCGGCCATCCAGCCCCACACACAGCTATCCATCCATCCATCCATCTATCCATCCATACGCAGCTATCCGTCCATCCCCATACCCAGCTGTCAGTCCAGCCAGCCAACCCCGTACGCAGCCATCCGTCCGTCCCTCCATCCCTCCATTCCCGTACGCAGCCGTCCGTCCGTCCCTCCATCCATCCATCCATCCATTCCCGTACGCAGCCGTCCGTCCGTCCCTCCATCCATCCATCCATCCATTCCCGTACGCAGCCGTCCGTCCGTCCCTCCATCCATCCATCCATCCATTCCCGTACGCAGCCATCCGTCCGTCCCTCCATCCATCCATTCCCGTACACAGCCATCCGTCCGTCCCTCCATTCCCGTACGCAGCCGTCCGTCCGTCCCTCCATCCATCCATCCCCATACTCAGAAATCTGTCTGTCTATGAATTAGAAAAGAAGGGGTGCAGGGTGGGGGGGTTAAGGACCCAGAATGGGCTCGCTTGCAGTGGGAATGACTCAGGACTCCTGGGTTCCCTCCCCAACCCCTGGAGACTGAGCGTTCTGGGGGATCTTTAATGGTCAGGAGCTTTCGATTTCCTGTCTGAAAACAATTATCTCTAGCTCCACTGTGGGGCCAGCCCCGCCTGCCTGGGAAGAGCGCCCCTTGCCCCGCTCCCTGCCCCACAGCGCCCCCTAGCGCTGCCCTGGGGCCAGCCCTGCCTGTCAGGGGAGAGCGCCCCCTGCTGAGCCCCCTGCCCCGCTCCCTGCCCCACAGCGCCCCCTAGCGCTGCCGTGGGGCCAGCCCCACCTGCCAGGAGAGCGTGCCCCCTGCTGAGTCCCCCGCCCCACTCCCTGCCCCCGCAGCGCCCCCTAGTGCTTCCCTGGGGCATTGGCATCAGTACTGGGATGTAACAATTGGGGTATAGGAGGGGGGCGATGTGGGTGGGTCTGTACCAATGGGGAGCAGTAGGGGGGTGGGAGGTACCAATGGGCGTGTGGGAAGGGGTTCAGCTAGAAAGAACATTTCTGCCCCATTTCCCATGGTGCCATGGGGGGAGGGGGGGCAGGAGCGGCTGGATTCCATTAGAGGGTGATTAAGACGGTTTGTGGGCTGGGGGGAGCGGTGGGGGCCCCCTGGGAGGATGTCGTTAATTGAATGATGTGATGGCGATTAATCTTAGCCTCACACCTATGGGGAGAGAGACGGGGGAGGAGTGTGGGGACGGGGCATGGGCCTGTCCCCTCTAGGGGGCGCCGGCTCCCCTCCGGCCCCAGGGCGGGGCCTGGCTGGCTCAGGGGGGCGGGGAATGGGGCAGGGGCCTGTCCCCTCTAGGGGGCGCCGGCTCCCATCTGGCCCCAGGGCAGGGCCTGGCTGGCTCAGGGGGGCGGGGAATGGGGCAGGGGCCTGTCCCCGCTAGGGGGCGCCGGCTCCCCTCCGGCCCCAGGGCGGGGCCTGGCTGGCTCAGGGGGGCGGGGAATGGGGCAGGGGCCTGTCCCCTCTAGGGGGCGCCGGCTCCCCTCCGGCCCCAGGGCGGGGCCTGGCTGGCTCAGGGGGGCGGGGAATGGGGCAGGGGCCTGTCCCCGCTAGGGGGCGGTGGAAGGCGGTGGAGTCTCCAGCCGGCCGTGTGTCAGGAGTGTGTGGGTGTGAGCAGGTCAGTGGGCAGTTTTGTGGGTTACTGCAGGGGATTTCTCGCTCTCAGACCCCGGCCGGCACACCCCTTGGCTCTCTGGCTGGCTCTTACACACCCGGATTGTGCCTCTCTGGCTCACACCCGCACGGATTCTCTCTCTCTCTCTCTCTCTCTTACACACACACTTATTGTGTGTCTGTTACACACTCACCCACACTGATTTTCTGTTTCACAAACACTCACTGATTGTCTCTCTCACACACACACTGCTTGTCTCTCTTACACACCCACCGATTGTGTCCCTGATACACACCTTGTGTGTCTCACACCTACATGGATTGTGTCTCTTACACACACGGATTGTGTCTGTTTCACACCCAGGGTGGTTGTTTTTCTCTCTTTCACACGCACGCACACACACATTGTGTCCCTGTCTCACAAACACACACTGATTGTCTGTCTCTCTCTCTCACACACACCATTTGTGTCTCTCTCTCACATACACACTTTTCTTGTCTCTCTTACTCACCCACCGACCATGTCTCTCTTAAACACACATTGTGAGTCTCACACCTACATTGTTTGTGTCTCTTATACACACAGATTGTGTCTGTGTTTCACACCCAGGGTGGTTGTGTGTGTCTCTCTCTCTCTCTCACACACACACACACACACTACTTGTGCCTCTTACACACCCACAAATTGTGTGTCTGTGTCTCTCTCTCTCTCACACACACACACACACACACACACACACACACACTCTGCTTGTGTGTCCGTCACACACACCCATGTATCTGTCACCAGTCCAGTCTCTCCCAGCACGCAGGGGGTTAGCCCCCTGCTGCCCCCCCGGCTCTGATTCGCTGCCAGGACCAGGCTGGCCCCACGGGGAGGGTGCCCGGCCCTGCCCGCTGCTCTCCGGCTCCCCCGGCCCCATGGACCCCCCCCAGCCCAGCGTAGACTCCCCGCATCCCTCCTTCCACCTCTCCCCCAACCCGGGAGAGCTCCCTCCAGCCCGTCTTCCTCGGTTCCTGCCCCATTCCCCCCTCTGCCGCCTCCCTCCATCCTCCCCCCCCGTTCCCCCCTCTGCCGCCTCCCTCCATCCTTCCACCCCCGTTCCCCCCTCTGCCGCCTTCCTCCATCCTTCCACCCCGGTTCCCCCCCTCTGCCGCCTCCCTCCATCCTTCCGGCCCCCGTTCCCCCCTCTGCCGCCTCCCTCCATCCCTCCACCCCCCGTTCCCCCCTCTGCCGCCTCCCTCCACCCCCCGTTCCCCCCTCTGCCGCCTCCCTCCACCCCCCGTTCCCCCCTCTGCCGCCTCCCTCCATCCCTCCACCCCCCGTTCCCCCCTCTGCCGCCTCCCTCCATCCCTCCACCCCCCGTTCCCCCCTCTGCCGCCTCCCTCCATCCCTCCACCCCCGTTCCCCCCTCTGCCGCCTCCCTCCACCCCCCCTTCCCCCCTCTGCCGCCTCCCTCCATCCTTCCACCCCCCGTTCCCCCCTCTGCCGCCTCCCTCCATCCCTCCACCCCCGTTCCCCCCTCTGCCGCCTCCCTCCATCCCTCCACCCCCGTTCCCCCCTCTGCCGCCTCCCTCCATCCCTCCATCCCTCCACCCCCGTTCCCCCCTCTGCCGCCTCCCTCCATCCCTCCATCCCTCCACCCCCGTTCCCCCCTCTGCCGCCTCCCTCCATCCCTCCACCCCCCGTTCCCCCCTCTGCCGCCTCCCTCCATCCCTCCACCCCCGTTCCCCCCTCTGCCGCCTCCCTCCATCCCTCCACCCCCGTTCCCCCCTCTGCCGCCTCCCTCCATCCCTCCACCCCCGTTCCCCCCTCTGCCGCCTCCCTCCCTCCCTCCATCCCCCATTCCCCCTCTGCCGCCTCCCTCCATCCCTCCATCCCCCGTTCCCCCCTCTGCCGCCTCCCTCCATCCCTCCATCCCCCGTTCCCCCCTCTGCCGCCTCCCTCCCTCCATCCCTCCATCCCCCGTTCCCCCCTCTGCCGCCTCCCTCCCTCCATCCCTCCATCCCCCGTTCCCCCCTCTGCCGCCTCCCTCCCTCCATCCCTCCATCCCCCGTTCCCCCCTCTGCCGCCTCCCTCCATCCCCCGTTCCCCCCTCTGCCGCCTCCCTCCCTCCCTCCATCCCTCCACCCCCCGTTCCCCCCTCCGCTGCCTTCCTCCCTCCCTCCATCCCTCCACCCCCGTTCCCCCTCTGCCGCCTCCCTCCATCCTTCCACCCCCCGTTCCCCCCTCTGCCGCCTCCCTCCATCCCTCCACCCCCCGTTCCCCCCTCTGCCGCCTCCCTCCATCCCTCCACCCCCGTTCCCCCTCTGCCGCCTCCCTCCATCCCTCCACCCCCCGTTCCCCCCTCTGCCGCCTCCCTCCATCCCTCCACCCCCCGTTCCCCCCTCTGCCGCCTCCCTCCATCCCTCCACCCCCCGTTCCCCCCTCTGCCGCCTCCCTCCATCCCTCCACCCCCCGTTCCCCCTCTGCCGCCTCCCTCCAACCCCTCCAACCCCCGTTCCCCCTCTGCCGCCTCCCTCCATCCCTCCAACCCCCGTTCCCCCCTCTGCCGCCTCCCTCCCTCCGTCCCTCCACCCCCGTTCCCCCCTCTGCCGCCTCCCTCCGTCCCTCCACCCCCCGTTCCCCCCTCTGCCGCCTCCCTCCGTCCTTCCACCCCTCGGTCCATCCCTCCATCCTTCCACCCCCGTTCCCCCCTCTGCCGCCTCCCTCCCTCCTTCCCCCCTCGGTCCATCCCTCCATCCCTCCAACCCCGTTCCCCCCTCTGCCGCCTCCCTCCATCCCTCCACCCCCGTTCCCCCCTCTGCCGCCTCCCTCCCTCCATCCCTCCACCCCCCGTTCCCCCCTCTGCCGCCTCCCTCCGTCCCTCCACCCCCCGTTCCCCCCTCTGCCGCCTCCCTCCCTCCACCCCCGTTCCCCCCTCTGCCGCCTCCCTCCATCCCTCCAACCCCCGTTCCCCCCTCTGCCGCCTCCCTCCCTCCAACCCCCGTTCCCCCCTCTGCCGCCTCCCTCCCTCCATCCCTCCAACCCCCGTTCCCCCCTCTGCCGCCTCCCTCCCCTCCAACCCCCGTTCCCCCCTCTGCCGCCTCCCTCCCTCCATCCCTCCACCCCCGTTCCCCCCTCTGCCGCCTCCCTCCACCCCCCCGTTCCCCCCTCTGCCGCCTCCCTCCATCCCTCCACCCCCCGTTCCCCCCTCTGCCGCCTCCCTCCATCCCTCCACCCCCGTTCCCCCCTCTGCCGCCTCCCTCCCTCCCTCCACCCCCGTTCCCCCCTCTGCTGCCTCCCTCCCTCCCTCCACCCCCTGTTCCCCCCT